TAGCGTTTCAGAAGTGTAATGCAGACCAACAGAAACAGCGTGCAGAAGTATAAATGCACAGCTACACGCATTGCATGCGCCGTGGGTTAGGCTGATCACCTGACGCAGAAGTATAAACCAGGCCTAAATGCACAGCTACACGCCTTGCATGCACTATGGGTCAAATCGACCACTTGACGCAGAAGTATAAACCAGGCCTAATGCTTAAAGCACCCTTAAACATCCTTAAAACCTTCTCAAAGTTTTGAGAAGCTCGAATATGACAGCAATATTTGCATCATAAACACATTTGAGGAACAAACTAAAAAAGCCCAAACACTGAACACACGCACAAGAACCTGGAAACAAACAATAAACCCAAATACTTTAAATTGTAAATTAAGCCAACGCAAATGTCAAAAGCTTAAAACACCCATAAAATGTCCTTTAAGTTTCCTTAAACATCCTTAAAGCCATTCTTAAAATATTGGGAAGCTCATATATGACTGTATCATAAACACACTCGAGAAACACGTCTAAAAACATCCAAACACTGAACACACACACACAAAGACATGAATACAAACAATAAACCCAAATACTGAAGACTCATTTTACACTGTGAACTTCATTTATGGAATTTAAGCCAATGCAAATGTCAGACTGATGCTTAATAACATTCTTAAAACTTCCTTAAAAGCTCCTTAAAATATTGGGAAGCTCATATATGACTGTTTTATAAACACACTTGAGAAACACGTCTAAAAACACCCAAACACTAAACACACACACACAAATACATGAATACAAACAACAAACCCAAACACTGAATATTCATTTAACGCTATGAACTTGTCTTCATTTATGGAAAATAAGCCAATGCAAATGTCAAAAGCTTAAAAACACACTTAAAGATCTCATACAGGACGGCAACATTTGCATCATAAACACACTTGAGGAACGAAAGTCTAAAAACAAACAGTGAACACACACAAAGACATGAATACAAACAACAAACCCAAACACTGAAGATTCATTTAAAGCTGTGAACTTCATTTATGGAAATTAAGTTAATGCACATGTCAGACTGATGCTTTAATCATCCTTAAACATCTTTAAAACCTCCTTAACGTAACATTTGCATCATAAACACACTTGAGAAATTAAAGTCTAAAACACCCAAAAACTGAACACACACACACACACACACACACACACACACACACACACACACACACAGACACACACACACAGACACAGACACAGACACAGACACACACACACACAGACACACACACACACAATGAATACAAACAACAAACCCAAACACTGAAGATTCATTTAAAGCTGTGAACTTCATTTATGGAAATTAAGCCAATGCACATGTCAGACTGATGCTTTAATCATCCATAAACATCTTTAAAACCTCCTTAACGTAACATTTGCATCATAAACACACTTGAGAAATTAAAGTCTAAAACACCCAAAAACTGAACACACACACACACACACACACACACACACACACACACACACACACACAGACACACACACACAGACACAGACACAGACACAGACACACACACACACACACACACACACACACAATGAATACAAACAACAAACCCAAATACTGAAGATTCCTTTAAAGCTGTGAACTTCATTTATGGAAATTAAGCAAATGCACATGTCAGACTAATGCTTAAAAACCTTCTTAAAACTTCCTTAAAGTATCGGGATGCTCATATATGACTGCAACATTTGCATCATAAACACACTCGAGGAACAAAAGTCTAAAAGCACCCAAACACTGAACACACACACAAACACACACACACACTGCAAAAAATGCTTTTCTTGCTTAGATTTTTTGTCTTGTTTCTAGTCCAAATATCTAAAGTTTCTTATATCAAGAAGAATTTTCTATATTAATAACATATAAACATATTGTCTTGTTTTGAGAAATAATATGCCAATATTAAGCGAGTTTTTCCTTAAAACGAGCCAAATAATCTGCCAATGGGGTGAGCAAATTAATCTTGTTTTTTCTTTTGACGTAAGATTATTTTGCTTGTTTTAAGGAAAAACTCACTTAATTTTGGCATATTATATCTTAAAACAAGACTATATGTTTTGCTTGTCTAGAAAATTCCTCTTGATTTAGGAAGTTTTAGATTTTTGGACTAGAAACAAGACAAAAAAATCTAAGTAAGAAAAGCATTTTTTGCAGTGCACAAGGACATGAATACAAACAAACCATAACATTGAAGATTCATTTAAAGCTACGAAATTCATTTATAAAGTTAAGCCAATGCAAAAGTCAGTCTAACGCTTAAAACATCCTTAAAACCTCCTTACAATGAGAATCGGGAAGCTCATATATCACTAGAACATTTGCATCCTGAACACACCTGAGGAACACAAGTCTAAAATCTCTGAGTTCTAAACTAATCATTACTTGCTGACGGTGTTTATCCACTGCAACAGGACAAATAAAAGTATGAAAGTCAGAAATACAGACCTCAGATGAGACATGAATCCCTGTGGTTTGGTTTGTGAGGCTGGTTTCTATTTGCGGTAGGATCAGTCCTGTGAGGACGCTCAATTGGATTGACAGGAGGAACTAATCTGATGCCCTGACAAATTCCCCAATCTCTGTGGTCACCTGGACGAGAGCAGCAGCCAATGAGAGACGGAGATTACAGCCGGTTTCTGCCCATCGGTGGATAAGACTGAGAGATAGAACTGTGTGCCAAGGACGAGGGCAGAGATGAACAACTCACAATCACTGACAGACTCACAATGACAACTTACACACAAGAAGGACATGAGGAATAATGCACAAAATAAATGACAGACAGAGAACATTTAGACAGAAAGACACAACCCCAAATCAGAAAAGGTTGGGACAGTATGGAAAACTGGTAGTGATTTCTAAATGGACTTTGGCTTGTATTTCATTGCAGACAATACAACAAACTTTATTTAATGTGTTGCTTATCATTTTTGAACAGCAAAGCATTTCATCGCCTGCAGGATTTTATTCGAAGGTACGCACAAATCCAGCACCGCCCCCCAATCATATCAAGAAACACTGATGCCTACTTTCAAAAGGATATTCGTTATAACATTCATCTATTCGTTTGTTTTTAAAATTTAAATATTTTCTTTAAAATCTAAAGGTAATAAAGCCAGCCTGATCTCACGAGAAAACGTAAGTATTTTATGTTTTGGCAGTTTAGTGGCTAATTCATACGAGTTCAGTCGTAAGAGATTGTACGATTTTAAAAAGGAGGCGTGGCACCTAGCCCCACCCCTAAACCCAACCATCATTGGGGGATGAGCAAATCATACTAAAATGTACGAATTAGTATTCTTACGAATTAGCCACTAAATGAAAAAGTTACGAATTGCCGTGAGATTGTGTTGAATACAGCACATCAGCACGAAGGAAAATCTGGGATCAGTTTATTATTTACTCGCTCTTTAAGATCTCAAAACTCAGGGCTTCTGGTAGTACCTAGAATAGCAAAGTCGAGTAAAGGAGGTCGATCCTTCTCCTTTATGGCTCCTACACTCTGGAATAGCCTTCCTGATAATGTCCGAGGCTCAGACACACTCTCCCAGTTCAAAACTAGATTAAAGACCTATCTGTTTAGTAAAGCATACACTCAATGCATCACCTAGCGGGTTCCACACAGGCTTCTGCATCTTGCTTATATACACTATGAACAGCAGCTACGCTAATTATTCTCTATTTTCACCTCGGGATACTCATCCCGAGGTCCTCAGATTATGCGGAGTCACTGACTGGATCCAAGACCAGCGACGAAATGATCCCAAGGTTTCCATATCCAGGACCAGGCCGTATCCTGAGCTGCTGCTGCACTGATGGTCATGGGGGAGTGGAGAACATGAGTCTGATTCCTTCGACGCTCCTGGGACAGACAAGTCTTCGCTGAGGCCACCTTCTAGCCTCCAACACGGTGACTGAAGCTCTGCACAAGACTTTTGGCCAGCGGAGAAATTAAAATGGTCGTGCCCAACTGAGTCTGGTTCTCTCAAGGTTTTTTTTCTTCACTCCCATCAGGTGAAGTTTTTTTTCCCTCTCCGCTGTCGCCACTGGCTTGCATGGTTCAGGATTGGTAGAGCTAAGCATCGATGAATTTGCTCTTCAGTGTTTGAACTCTCAGTAATGATTAAATCACACTGAACTGAGCTAAACTGAACTGAACTGAACTTAAACACTAAAAACCATTTATGTGAAGCTGTTTTGACACAATCTACATTGTAAAAGCGCTATACAAATAAAGCTGAATTGAATTGTACGGAGCGCGTCTGTCAGTCAGCGCTTATACATGCATTCACTGGTTCAGAGGTAGCATATGAAAGGCGCCGATCGACGCACAGCTTTAATGTAAAGAAAGTGATGCAGACATTTTAATATTAATTTCAAGATTAAACATATATCAGAAATATGGGAAAATACTTAATGAAAGGAAGAAAGTGGGATAGAATGGTAAAACACAGGAGAATTTCGGCAAAACGGGAGGGTTTACATGAAGGACGTGAACAGGAAGTGTTTGTGGAGAAACATCTTTGCGAGGGAACGCAAAAAAACCTTAAAATATGTTTTCCTATCACTCAGTTTTTTTTCTCGCACCCAGTTATTTTTTTTCTTCCACCTTTTTTTTTTCCCCACCATCTCCGTGAAAGAGACAGTTCCCCCGGCTTAGGTGCTGATGCGAATGCAGTCTCCACATTGTGCAGGAGATCAGTATTTGTATCATCAGTTTTAGGCCTTTTGGCGAATGTCTCAATTAGGTTTATCTGTTTTAAAGAGCGTTTACTCGTTCTGAACCTTTGTTTTAAACAATCTATCTATCTATCTATCTATCTATCTATCTATCTATCTATCTATCTATCTATCTATCTATCTATCTATCTATCTATCTCTCTCTCTCTCTCTCTATCTATCTATCTATCTATCTATCTATCTATCTATCTATCTATCTATCTATCTCTCTATCTATCTATCTTTCTATCTATCTATCTCTCTATCTATCTATCCATCCATCCATCCATCCATCCATCCATCCATCCATCCATCCATCCATCCATCCATCCATCCATCCATCCATCCATCCATCCATCTATCTATCTATCTATCTATCTATCTATCTATCTATCTTTCTATATATCTATCTCTCTATCTATTTTTCTATCTATCTATCTATCTATCTATCTATCTATCTATCTATCTATCTATCTATCTATCTATCTATCTATCTATCTATCTATCTATCTATTTTTCTATCTATCTATTTTTCTATCTATCTATCTATTTTTCTATCTATCTATCTATCTATCTATCTATCTATCTATCTATCTATCTATCTATCTATCTATCTATCTATCTATCTATCTATCTATCTATCTATCTATCTATCTATCTATCTGAATTGTAATTTTTAGGTGTGAAAAATCGCCAGCAAAACTAAAGCCAACAGATTCCTTTAACCATCTCCCATCACGCAAGTACATACACACTTTAAAACACACAAACACACACCTTTATTTATTCTCATACTTTCTTGCTTTGTCAATATATCGTTGTGTGTACTGTTTAATAATCAATTTAAATTATGTAATAAATAAATAAAAAAGCGACTCATGGTAGGTACGCACAGTGCGTACAGCTGCAGGCGCCACTGATTCCTCTCAACCCGTCCATTTTTCCCATGATTCTCCTGTATTTTTACAATTTTATCCTGCTTTTATCGGTAAAGATATTTTCAATCCTTCTATGAAGGGTGGCAATAATTATTAAAGAGCCGATCCTCCCAATAAAATCCAGCTGCAGGCCCGCAGAACCGCACATGTTTTAGGCACACACAATCTGGCACACTCAATCTAGGCAAACCATATATGGTTACGACGGATGTTAATGTTATTAACGTCTTTTTGACCATCGTCATCAATATGTTTGGATATTTATGGTTAATAAATATTGTGCACAATAAACATAAGTGTTTACTTCATTTCACAAACATTGCGATCGAGACGGGCGAATGCGGAGCGATGTTTCCGATCACCATTCAGTTTAATAGACTGAACAGTTTTCTATCCGTCATCATAGATGATCAGTCATTATTATCTGATAATAATATGGCAGATACTCGTTTGCTGGCCTTGCTGAACAATCTAAACTGGACAGGTTTATGTAATGGATTTGTTTATAATGAAGGAAATAATAGCAAGTTTAGCCAATAATACATTTTATATGTATTAAAAATCTTTTTACATGTAACAAATGTATAACACTATATTCATATTTTACTCCAGCAATTTAATTGAGTTTATTTGCTTGATTTTCTAATAACTTTTTTATTAATGATTTCCCACATTAAATACTGTAGTAATTTATAGTAAGCAATACACTTTTTAAAACCAAAATTTAGCAATAGAAACAAATTAACTATTAATAATTGACAAAAAAAAATAAGTAAACATATATATATATATATATATATATATATATATATATATATATATATAAAACTAACAACTGTGACAGTTTAGTAAAATATAGTAGTGTTGTGTACTGTGGCTTCAAGTGTAACGCTTTTTGACCCTTATGATGTTCCGTATGGGACGCGCAGCGAGATCCTGCGTCTGCACAGTATGACATTGTAGCATGTATCCTGTATATCCGCAATATTTAGTAAAGAGTTCTGTTGCATAAGGTTTGTGTCCGTGTCATTGCTTAAGTGCAGCGCACTTACATCCATGAGAGATGTAACAAGTAGTTATTCAGATACTCAGTTTATAACTACATTATATATTGTTTAAATTATTAACTATAGTAATTCATTTTAATGTGACACATTATTGTTTGCTTTTTATATTTTACAACAAAGTGATTTTAACCAAGTATGATAAGATTTGGGTGAGGCAGTGGCGCAGTAGGTAGTGCTGTTGCCTCACAGCAAGAAGGTCGCTGGTTCGAGCCTCGGCTCAGTTGGCGTTTCTGTGTGGAGTTTGCATGTTCTCCCTGCATTAGTGTGGGTTTCCTCCGGGTGCTCCGGTTTCCCCTAAAGTCCAAAGACATGTGGTACAGGTGTATAAGGTAGGCTAAATTGTCCGTAGTGTATGAGTGTGTGTGAATGTGTGTGTGGATGTTTTCCAGAGATGGGTTGCGGCTGGAAGGGTATCCGCTGCGTGAAAACTTGCTGGATAAGTTGGCGGTTCATTCCGCTGTGGCGACCCCGGATTAATAAAGGGACTAAGCTGACAAGAAAATTAATGAATGAATGATAAGATTAAGATCCTGAATTAGTTTATTACACTTAATCCTACAATTTGACGGTCTATTATGTGTTCTTTGTTTATGTGGACACATGAATAAAGTCATAAGTGTCTTTAACCAATTATTTCTATTTACATAATTTGAGTTCAGAAACTGCAGAGATGTTAAAATAATCGTTACGATATAATAATAATAATGACTGAAAAGGGAACTCATATTTGTGGAATTCAATAGGTGGCGATAATGCTAAAGAATAGGTTAGTTACCATATATGGTGTGCTAGATTGTGTGTGCCTAAAACGTGTGTGGTTCTGCGGTTCAGCAGCTGGATATATCTCGATCCTCCTTATATGCAACCCATATCACTGAATCACCAGGGGACGCTCCTTGCTCTTAAATGTGAATCTGTTCTGTGCTTTAAC